GATTATAGAACATGAACAATCACAACTCCTTCAACCCCAAACTTCTATCACGGTTTACCTTGGAAAACACTTCCACATGTTTACATCGTCAGAAACGAGTATTGACAACGACCATATAGTCGAGCTGCTCAAAGTCTAATCATCCTTTCCGATTGGAACTCCTTTAACTTCGTTTACCGTCGAACTCTCCGGCAGATTTTAGTTTCGAATACTCATTCAAATAGAGGAGAATTAATATGGATAGATGATGAGAGCTTCCCTGAATTTTTTTCTTTCTAAAACATACTATCAAACTCATTCACCACTAATCTTCAACCCTATCCGGTTAAATAAATCATTCACATTCTTGTAATAAAAAATCTCACATTAAATTTTCTTTGCACCGAAATGGAAGACCTGAGTTTCCATATTTTGACATTTCCTCAAATATATCTTTTGTCTTTTGAAAAATCTTTTTTGCAAAAATTAAGGATTTCGATTCACAAAACTATCGTATTATACAATTTGCAAAAGGGCACTTTCAGACATTATAAAGAATTAAAAATTATAATTGCCTTGTCGGACCTGATTTGCAGGTTATTAGGTTCGATTGGGGATTTACTCCGTACGTATTTTCGAGTAGCAGCTGCAGATTCCCACATTAAAAATAAATAAATAAATAAATAAAATAAAAATTATTGCTTCAGACATACTAAACAATATTGAATACCTAAATTTATTAGTTCAAATCGGAATACCTAAATGATTTATTAGTTCAAATCGGAATACCTAAATGTCATTTTAAATTACTATAACTTGAAAATTCCACAATTCTTTGCCTTGCCCACTGGCCCTTAATTGTTGGGACACACAAATATTTAATTTTCGTAGGATCATATTCAATTGCGTGACAAAGAAAGTAAATAATCACAACCTTTAAATATATTGCTATGTAAATTTGATGACATGCATACAATTGAAGAATTGTGCACACCCACATATATTTATATATATATATATATATAATATACACATTAAATTATACTATTAATTTTAATGTACTTTTTCAATTGTCAATTTTATATCTATTTTATTTTATTTTTTTTGGTAAATTTACACAAGAAAAAAGATACTCTTCCGTTCCGCACAGATGACCTCATTTCTTATTTGGTATGTCCTACAAAAGATAACTCATTTTTATTTTTGACAAGTTTATCAATCTTAAATATACTTACAAATATGAATCAATTTAATTAAACTTCTACCATCTTACATTTAGAACCTCCTCAAAACCCCTTTATTTCTATATCTCTCCTCAATTAACAAATATTTTTATCTACTTTTAAAAATCCTCAGTTTTTATAAAACTAATTTATGATAATGATAAATAAATAAATATATAAATTTTTTTATTCATTTGTATTACATAAAATTTGATTGTCTATAAAATGATATCCATATTGCATATATTTTATTGAGATATAATTGTAAACATATTTAAAATACCAACAACACTACACATATAAAAAATAATAAAATATTATCTTAACTTATTATTAATAACTTAATAACCTATACTACATAAAATACCGTATCCCTGACAAAAGACTCCATCTTTCGCGGGACGGAGGGAGTATGAAATAGACCGCGGAAGAAGTATTTATATAATTATTGTTATTTTATAAAATTGAATCACCTATTAATTATAACTAATAATTTGGATGACTTATCCTATTTTGTAGAGTGTCGAAAACATGCCAATATATACGGAAACTATTTAAATATCTAGATGCTATATTTCCGAGGTTTCGAACTTTTCCTTAGCCGTCTTGTCTATTTTGTAATATGAAAAAAAAAAGAATAATTAAATAACTAATTAATATGTAATTTTTGGAATTAAATTTGTCAATTTGGTTAGGACCTAATTTCCCATAAATTTCATTTTATTTTTGACTTTTGTCGTATGCTTTTAAGTGGATTCATTAACTATAATTAAACATCTACATATGAAAAGAATGATCTTCTAATGTCGTATGTAGCCACGAAATTTTGTTTGATTTTAGATGTGACACGAGAAATGAACTATTAGGATAATGAATATCGTGGTTTAATTTTTTATTGCACGTTGATTCAATAGATTTTTTGTTCGATAAAATGTCTAAGCATTTAATATACATACACGATTTTTATTCATTTTAATTTCTTTTAGGATACGACAAAATTCAAATATATATTTACTATTTAATACTATATATGTATATAAACACTCGGTATATTTACATGATATATATGGATATTCTATTAAAATATATTTTTAACAGTATTTTGATAGGATCTTTTGTAATAAATATATTTATTAAAAATTATACGAAATAAGTATTTTTAATTTTAGTTTGGGATTTTCTTCCAAATTAAAAAAAAAAGAAATAAATCAAAATCCGTAGACCGAGTCGAGAGTTAAAAAAAATATTTTACCAAGAAATTTAAATAAATTACCTAATTTATACCTAAATTGGCAATGACTTTATTTGGTCCTATTTATTCATTTATTATTTGTACGCTCGTTACAATGACATTACGAAATTCAGCATTAAATTAAAATTTCATTTCAGACAATCCAGATAAGGTTTGTTATTATAAATTAAATTCTATATACACACCATTGATTAGTTGAAAAATACTTATCATATTAAAATTTTATACAAATGTTAAAAGAACAAGTATATTATGCAATAAAAATTTAATTTAATTTAATATATGTAAATTAGAAATTAAATTTTTCATGGATAGAATGAAATATATTTATATTATATAGTTTGAAATATATATATTAGAAATTTGAACTTAAGTTTGAACTCGATTCATTTGAAATTTGTTTTTGTCAAACTCGAACGTGAGCTTTATCTTATATATATGTATATATATAGTAATAACAAAAGGCAAAAAAAAAATCATTTTTACCGAAAAACTTTCGAGCATATCGAGTAGCTAGGTTAACAACCCTTATGGAACTAATTAACACAATAATTATTTCTAGTACATAAAATGAAATAAATTCCATACTCTAGGGTCCATAAAACCTTTGATGATATATATATATATATGTATGTATGTAACACCAATTAGGTAATGATTAACTAAATTAATTTAGAATAAACCATGGGGGCACACATTTGAAAGCCATATTATAATACAATCAATTATCAAATTAAATTTTCATCAGCCACTATAATTGATGATGTTGATTGCCAACCTGAAAATTCGAACGTCCAAATTCATGAGATCTCAATTTAATTATATGAAATAAATAAAATGAACATCCCATTACACACATAATTGCATGATCTATATTAATTAAGAAAGAGTAAATTAAAATAAAATATTACATTGCAAGCTATTTTAGCCTGATTGGATTTGGATCTAAAACCGAATTTATTTTATTATTGTACACATAAAAAATGTGGAATCACACATGATAATAATAATAATAATAATAATAATAATAATAATAATAATAATAAATAGTGTAGGGTATGTTGAATTAGTTGTCAAACTGTTGCCATGCAAAAAATATTTTAAGAAATTAATTAGCTATATATATATATATATATTAGATCATTCTAGTGACATTAATTTATGGACGTGTCCACATACTGTGACTATCAACATTAAAACTTTTATAAATTAAATAATATATAGTCACATGACAAATCAATTTAGGCGCACCACGTTTCTTGGAACTAAATACAGACAAAATCAGTGACAAGCTTTTGTATGAGGGAAATAAACTTGATTTAGAAAAATAAATAAATAAATAAATGCCATTGAATTTTTTGATATATATATATATATATATATTGAAGTAAATAAATTAACGACTGAAAAGTAATTCGGGCGCAAAATTATATATATGTATGAACTTGCTTGGTGGATTTGTAAATAAGGCTAAATATTATTGTAGATAAGTATTAAGAGAAATGTAGGGGCAGATTTAAATTTTTTTAAAAATATTGTATATAAATGAATAAGTGGTTACATACATGCATGACGTAAAATGTGAGAGCTGTTTCGAACTACATGCACACTGTGACACATTCAATACTTCGTCATCACATTAAATAAAATTTGACACCTTGCATATATATATATATATATATATATATATGACGGTTGTTACGATATTAAATTTTATAATTCAATAAAATGATCATGGAATATCGGTAAATAACAAATTGTATACAATAGATATAACGACAACAATATACATTTAAATTCATACAATATATATTATCATTGATATTACCACATGGAATATGTTTATACAACACTTCTTATAAGTTTTCAGTATATAATTAATTTCAACTAGCTTAATATGCGATGTATTAATTAAAATTGTGTATTTTTTTACTTTTTTTTTCTTATTCTTCATTTTTAAGCATAAAATAAAATAAAAATCAATACCTCTTATATATCTTAGTTTGGCACTGTACAATACATTATTCATATTAATATAATACAAATATTGCACAAAAATGAAGAGTACATGACATTTTTATAGAACGCATGACACCATGATGATTTCTCCAAATAATATAGATTCAAAAGTTCAGAAAATACTGATCAAGAATTTGAAATATACATATTTTATTTATGACATGAGAATCCGCAGCCGTTATTTGAAAATATATACTGAGTAAATCCCAATTTGAATCTAATACCTGCAAACTAGGCCCAACAAGGCCCAGTTTCACAAACGGGGTAAATATAACACATAATTTTTTGTTTCACAAAGTATATGCTATGTGAACTAGCCGACCTAGTATTTTCTGAAATCTTAATCGGTACTATATGCCTCAACCACCGTTCATATATATATATATATATAATAAAAAAATATTGACATGAGAGAGATAGAGATAGCTGACTTTTGAGAGAGAAGAGTAAATGCAATGTGCTGTTCAGTTTTGACTCTTTAATGGTGTAAGAAAACTTAACAAATACACACACACAGCCTCTCTTTTTATTACCATCCCTTCTCCATATCGGTTTCTCACTCTATATCAGTTTCTCACTCTATCATCACTCCATATATCCCTCACCCTCACCCCCACCCCCTCCACCTTAATTATAGTTCATCTTCACCAATACTAATAATCAAGAACTCATCGATCATGAGGATCATCGATTAATTTAAATAATTCTCGATCGATTGATCGATCAAATCAAACATTGATTTTTTATTTTGGATTTGGCGATGGGAAGGCCTCCTTGCTGCAACAAGATCGGCGTGAAGAAAGGGCCATGGACTCCCGAAGAAGACATCATCCTCGTCTCTTACATTCAAGAACATGGCCCTGGAAATTGGAGGGCTGTTCCTACCAACACCGGCAAGTATTTCATTACATCAATTGATCATCTTTCTTCCTGATTTTGTCTGATTTTGTAATTTCCCTAATCGATCCTCATCCATCACTTGTATGTCTTCTTCAGTTCGGATTCTTGTTGGTTCGTTAATGGCTACCCCTTCATTAATTGCTGCTAACTATTTATTGCTCTCTTAACTGTTTCTTCCTCGCCGGAATTAATCATCGGAATTATTTTCCGGCTTCTTATTTTACCTTCTGCAGGATTGCTCCGATGCAGCAAGAGCTGCCGGCTCCGGTGGACGAACTATCTCCGGCCGGGGATCAAGCGCGGGAACTTCACCGAACACGAGGAGAAGATGATCGTCCACCTTCAGGCTCTTCTCGGCAATCGGTACCCAAATCGAATTAATTAATTAGGGCTAATGATTTGGGAATTAGGGTTTGAGAATTTGGGGATTTGGAAAATCAAATTAATTAGGGTAGTGATTTGGGAATTAGGGTTGGAAATTTGGGGATTTGTTCATGATTGGATTCAATTGATTGATTAATCGTGAATTGTTGCAGATGGGCCGCCATAGCTTCGTACCTTCCTCAGAGAACTGATAACGACATCAAGAACTACTGGAACACTCATCTGAAGAGGAAGCTGGGGAAGATGGAAGGTCACTGCGAGCACGAACAAATCTGCCATGAAAATGGAAGCTTTTCTGATTCGAATTCGAAAGGGCAGTGGGAGAGACGACTGCAGACGGACATCCACACGGCCCGACGGGCCCTCTGCGAGGCCCTCTTTCTCTACAAGCCCGGCGAGAATCCGTCGTCGGAATCTGCGATCTGCCGGAAATCTCCGCCGGAAAACGCGCCGATTCCGGCGCCGGCGGAATATGCGTCCAGCGCCGACAACATCGCGCGCCTCTTAGAGAATTGGAACAAGAAATCCCCAAAATTTTCCCCCGCCGGCTCGTCGGAGAGCCGCCGGAGCTTTTCCCGGAACAACCAGTCGGCGGCGGCGCAGAGCTCCAGCGAGGGGACAATTGTTAGCGCGGCGTTCGTCGGCTCGAATTCGGAGGTTTCGACCACCGCCGCGGCGGCGGAGGATCAGATCAGCTCCGGCGGCGGCCATCTCCGGCGTAAGGATGAAACCAGGTCGAATTCTGAGACGCAAATGCCCCTGAGCTTGCTGGAGAAATGGCTGATGGAAGAAGCCTCTGGGCAGGGGCAAGATGGGGATTTCATAGAGATCACTGCTGATTTGTTCTGAAGAAGCCATTAATGGCGACGAAGTCTGCTTCAGCTTCTTCTTCAGAACAACTCGGCAGTTCGATTCTCGTTTCCTTTAATTTTTCTGCTGTTTTTTTTTTTTTGTTCTCTTTTTTGTTCTTCTTCTTCCCGTTTTAGACTGTCGAACGCTGATCCGCCATTAATATGACGCCAATCCATCTGCAAGAAAGAGACAGCCAATCGATCTTTACCTCTTCGTACAAAAACTAAGTGTAAATTATAGACTTTAGAGTGGTCTCATGTTTGTACTCTCTGCATCTTTTGGTGTACATCCCTGAGAAATTATCATTAGGGTTTTATTACACTTTTAATCATTTGTACTAAGGTTTTCTTCACTCCCTTTTATATTGTAACTAATTTCTAAAATATAACAATTTAAATCCTAATCAAGTGTTTTTTTTAAAAAAAAATACTACAAATTAATGAGGGTATGTAAAAAAACAAAATAATACTATTACTTATAATCCAAAATATTTAATTCAGTGGCTATTATCCATTTAATTTAATTTAATTCATATCTATTTCTAGCTTCAGTAATGGCTATTTATATATTTATGCATCATCATCATCAGGATTATTATTATTATTATTATTATTATTATTATTATTATTATTATTATTATTATTTATTTTATTTTTTTATATATTTTTTTATGACGTTTATTATTATTATTATTATTATTATTATTACAACTACGTCTACAAACGAGTTATTGTTATATTAATGCACATAGTATTTATCAATCAAACTCAGCACATTTAATTTCCTATTAATTAATTAAATTAAAGTTTGTGGCCATATTCTCAAACTAATTAAAGTATATAATAATAATAATAATAATAATAATAATAATAATAATAATAATAATAATAATATTTATTTATTACTTCCAATAGAGATTTTCAAATTTAACCATAAGTTTATTATTTATTATATGCGTATCCAATTATTTATGTTTAATAGATTTTACATTTTTCAAATATAAATTGTTCACTATTTTAGTATAGTTTCTCGTATGATTCAAGCATCATAACTTTCAGTAATTTGGCCAAATTAAATTGAGAATAATTTAAATTTTAATGATCAAATTCTAATAGCTCATAAAAAAAAAAAATTGGGAATTTAAATAGATTATTGTGTTTCGATATGATTTTTATATTTGATTTGTCGTTACTCTAACTATCATGTGCTTTTACGTGATTTGTCATACGTACTTTCGAAAAATGACATAGATGAGTTAAAGTGATGGAAATTGACCATTTTATCAAATAATATTCTCTATGTCTCTTAACAATATATTTATTTTTTCATTTTGTTCTTCTCATAACAAACAAAGTATTCATTTTCTTTTTAAATAACTGTATAATTTATCTAACATTACAAATACCTTTTCAATTTACAATATATTACACAAATATCATTACATTTATATCATACAATACTAATAAGTGTATTTTAGTCTTTTTTACCTTTATTTATATTACGTTCCAATATAATACTAATATTTCTAAAATTTTGTGCAAAAATAAATGAATAAATAGATTTGAGATAGAGAGAGTATCACTTAAGAAATTACATTTATATACATTTTTTGAATATGAAACACATTCTATAGGTATGTTTATTTTGTATTTTAATTTGAAGTATTTTTATGTTAGATCTAAAAAAAATATATCGATAGTATACAATTTAATAATATGTGTTGAATTACTAATTTTTTGTAAAAAAATAAAATATATTATATATTGCATGAATATGCATATATATTTTATTTTTTTGTAATATTAATTGAAGAACATGTCAAATATATATATATATATATATATGAAGAACATACCTAATAAAAAAAGTAAAAAAAAAGTGTCATTTTAATTTTACAATTCAACCCCAATTTTATTTTTCTTAGAAATTATTATAATAAATATCTTATTAATATTTTGTTTAATTATATATATATATATCTTTTCAATATTAAATGTTGAATACATCAATATATATCGTTTTAAAGTATTTTTAGACAAATTGTTATCTGATCTTTATAAAAAACTATTAACATAAATGATTAATCAATTATTTATTTTATTCAAAAAAATTATTTAAAATATTTTACGCTTTTTATTTGTATAAAACTTGCTTAATTTAAGTATTTATTTATAACCAAATATCAGTTTTAATGAAATATGGTATTTTATATAAATTTTACATTAAAACAAGGTGATTTATTTTGTGCATTTTTACTCAAACATAATAGGATTTTTGTTATATAATTTACTATATTAATTATTATATTAAAATGTAAATACAAAAAGTAAATATAACCATTAGAACCGAGCGGACAGAGCATTACATTTGCCTCACATAAAAATTCTATTATTATTTATATACGTGGAAATTTGACCCGATCAAAAAATAGGTAATAAAATCACATGAAGTACATGTTTTCACAATTAATTAATTCATCGCCCCGTCAACGAACCCCAATCCTCAAGCTACGAATTTTTCACATACATTTATTTTGGAAGCTTCCCTATTTTATTAAATATAATTTTTTATTTTTTATTTTTAAAAAAAAGGTTTATAGCATTCAAATTCTAGAATGCATTGTGGGATTGCACGCAACGCATTAGTGTTAGTACGAAATTATGAGTATTGTGGTTTTGAATTTGAAATTATTTTTAAATAGTAAAAAAATGGTTTGAATGTTACATTTTTTAAGAAATATGAGAAAAAAAAAAAAAACATATTATTTGTCATTATTGTTGTTATTTATGAAATTTTAATTTTTGTTAAATTGGCATAATACAATGGGCCATGTTAAAAAATAAATGAGGTAATACATCATAACAGAATAGGCCCATTTTTATGGGCTTAGGCCCTAATTAATGAGCCCAATACTATTTGCTTCTTTGATTGCTCAGACCCAAATGATTTGATACGAAGAAGTATAATATTCTCCCGTCCAAATAAGTCTCAAAATAATAGTCTCATTTTCGTAAATAATTATATCACTATAAAATTATCCTTACTTTTTTATTATTATTACACAATTGTCACTATTCTTTACACTAATACATTCACAAGAGAATTTTTTTTTTTTATATGTATTTTTTACCCATTCCGTGTCAAACGCAAACCAAATTATAGTTTTGGGACGGAGAGATTATATTGAATGTAAAATTATTATTTTTGATAATATATTATATGAAAAATCTGTGTTTATTGTGATAAATTTTCTGAAAATTTGATTGACTCTTCGTCTGAAATCAATTTGTAAATTTTATGATTATGACTGTCGAAAAAATATCAATCTAATTTTTTTTTTCTTTTTTTTAATGGTAGTTTTAATACAAGTTAAGAATTATTTATTTATCATTACCCTACATTATTTTCATTAAAATAGAAGATTTAGAAATAGATAAAAAATATTTGTTAATTGAGAAGTAAAAAAAAATAAAAGAATTTGAACGAGTCCTACATATTTAAAAAATTTAATTAAATTGAATTATATTTATTAAGTATATTTAAAATTGATAAATTTATTAAAAATAAAAAATATCATTTTTGTGAAAAAAGAAAAAAAATGATAATTTATGACGGGAAGAGAAAATACTTCCTCCGTCCCAATACACTATTCCTATTTACTATTTTTGTCCGTCATAAAATAATAGTCTTATTTCTATAAATAATTATATTACTATAAAAGTACTCATATTTTTTAATTATTATTATACAATTACCACTACTGTTTACACTCATAAGGGCAAAAAAATCATTTATCCATACTTTTTATCCATTATCAATATAATATCAATATTTCTTAAATTTTGTATAAACAAAGACTATAGTTTTGGGGCGGAAGAAAGTATATAAATATAAGAAACAAGATTAAACACACCCCTACTGGTGTACAAGTAAAACCTATTCTAAAATGGCGGCTTCAGAAATAGGGTTCGGACAATAATGGGTTGGCCCTTTTGTACGGAATTCCTCATCTAGCTGTCGGCCCACATTACTCACCACACAATCTAAGGCCCACAAAAATATATTTTATTTTATTCTATTTTTTTATTATAATAATTTAGATGTAATAATTTATTAAAAAATCAGTATAGAAAATTGCTATAGATGAAAAGTAAAAATATTGGAATCAAACTTCGAAATAAAATGCTCAAAGTGTATATATTTGGAATTTATTTTGTATTTTAAAAAATAATTTAAATGTACAAGAAAAAAAAATGTATTTTTATAGAAATTACTAGAATATAAAAATTTAAAAAAACATACACACAAGTGTATTTATTTAGATTTATGATTTTTTTTATTATTATTTTTTTAAATCTGAACAGTAGTATAAATAAATATAATGTTTTGTATAATATATATATATATATATATATATATATAACAATGAATATTTTTTTAGTAAAAAATAAAATAAAAAATAAAATCAAACTCCAACCAATGTTAGAGTTGTTGATCCATCGAGTCAACCCAAGTATCTTATCTTTGGACTTGTCAATCAATTCAAGTTGACTCAAGTACCTTTTGGTTGTTTACATATATATTTTCAAAAAATTTATAATATTTATTTACATTATTTAAAAAATATTTAATTATTTTTCTTTTTCACATAATATTATTTTATTAAATATTAACTTTTTAAGTTGTGTCTTGTGGATTTTAGACAAAGTTTTTACTATTAAATTTTTTTTTTCAAAAAGTATCAAATTAAACAATTATTATTTTTTTTATATTATACTATAAATTTATTTTACATTCAAAATATCAGATCAATATTTATTTATATCACATCAAATAATTATTTAAATTAAACTATTACTATTCAAAAATCCAAACAAAAAAACTGAACAAACACACCCTTATTATTTCTAAAATTTTAAAATTTTCTATCTAAACGAAACTTTATTTTTGAGTTGTTTTTATTATTATGAATCTAAGTGTTTAATTCTCTTATTTATACTAATTAAGCTTTGTCTATATAAACAATTTTTAAAATTTTAATACAACATTATTTATGAATTACTTCTTCCATCTCAAATACCGTACAACATTTGTGTTTGGCACAAAAATTTAGGTGGAGAGTATTAAATATGATGATTTGAGATAATTTGGATATTAAGTAATGTAATTGGAGAGAGAACTGATTATTTATTTTTTTATTTGAGAGATGCGATGAGATAAAGTGAAATATGTATTAATATATGTATATAAATATTATTAAATATTTTTAAATTTGAAAATATTGCAGTAAATTTGGCACAAATAAAAAAAAATATTGCAGGGTGTTTGGGACGAGGAACTATAATTTTTCTAAAATAAAATTGCACCAAATGTTTTTTTTTTTCTTTCAAAATATTAGGTTAAAAATTAGGGGTATTTTTTATATTTGTATATAAATTATTTTTACTATAATAAAAATACCAATTTTGAGTGAGACTATAAAAATGATAAAAATTATATATTAAGTTGTATCGGAGATAATATTTTTTTATTTACATATATTATTAGTATTATTATTTTAAAAAATGTTTTAGTTTTAAAATAGATTAATTTACTAGATTTTCGACTGGCCTTTATATATAATTCCTCCTGTCTCAAAATTATAGTTTTTAGTTGTGTTTGACACGAGATTTAAAGAATATTAATATTATATTGGTAGTGTATAAAAAATATGAGTAAAAGATTTTTTTGCCTTTATAAGTGTATTAATGTAAAAGGTAGTGGCAATTGTGTAATAATAATGAAATAATTTTATAATGATATAGTTATTTATGAAAATAAGACTACTATTTTGGGACAAGCAAAAATGATAAACAAGACTATTGTATTGAAACGGAGAGAGTATATATTATTGAAAACGATGAACAATTCCGACAAGGATTGTGTTGAAAAATCCATTCTATGGTATGTTGTTTGGAGCATGCGTGCAATCCAACATAATATATTACATCTCCAAATAATAATAATAAAATTTGAAAACATCATTCTAACACGTTGTACTCTAGCTGTCAAGCAAATATATATTGGTTGTATTGAACAATAATTTTAATAAATACTCGCTCCGTCCATAAATTATTGTCCTATTTTTTTATTTAGGACGTCCAACAACTATTATTCTATTTTTTTTTTAAATATGAATTTTACATTTTTACCTTCCATTCATTTATTACTTTTAATATCTACCATACAATTAAGGACAAATTTGTCAATTCATGACAAAAGACAATAACCTAAAAAACCGTGCATATACACTTTACGACAGTAGAAATTGGACGGAGGGAATATAATATACTATTAAATGATTGTAATATAATGTATGAATATTATGAAAATTATATGGATGGGTTAATGAAATGCTTTGATTTTTGAAAAATTAATTTGAATGTGTAAATAATAATGACATATTTATGAATAAATATAATCGAAGAGGACAAGTTAAGAATTATGTAATAATTTTGTATAAATAAAAACCATATATATAATTTGCTAATATTTACATTATAAAAAATGGACAATCTTTTGTGTCTTTTTAAAGCAGTTGAAAAATCATTTCCAATTATTTTTTCCGAGTCAACTCTTCAGTCTCTATATTGTTCTCTTGTTTGTTGTTTGTTGTTTTTTATTTTTTTTATTTTTATTTTCTTAACAATCCTTAATCATATTGGACTTTGCATAATAATAATAATAATAATTATTATTATAATAATATCTTACATTATAATTTCTTTTTCAATTTGTATTTATTTATTTAGAATTTCCCGAAAACTCTAGTGATTTTACTATTATATCTAAATGTAAAAATATTTATACAAAAGTGACACTCATTATCCAATATATTTATTTACTCTATCCGTCCATAAATATAGTTTTAATTGAGTTGGACACGAGATTTAAGAAATATTAATATTATATTGGCAGTGAGTAAAAGTATGAATAAAAGATTTTTTTTACTCTTGTGAATGTATTAGTGTAAAAAATAGTGGCAATTGTATAATAAAAATGAAAATGTAGGGGTAGTTTTACAGTGATATGATTATTTATGAAAGTAAGACTATTGTTTTGAGACGGACAAAAATGATAAACAAGACTATTATATTAGGACGGAGGGAGTATATTGGATTTATTATAGTGTTGATTTAAATTTATTACCATCATGCTCATTAGTCTTCAATTGCACATTGTAATAATATACACGATATATAATTGTCGTTGCTAAAATTAATTATGACATATATTGTCTTGGGATATTGTTATATGCTATTAATTTATGTAATATATATTGTATTATATTGAAATAAACTACTCGTAGGAAATAAAGAGAGAGCTCAATCACTTGATCTGATTTGTAACCACTTCAGAAAAAAAAAAAAAAAAAAAAAGTTTATTTTTGTAAAATTTAGGAGTATTTTAATATATGTATATTGATTTTTTATTTTTTTTACTATAATAACAATTAGATAATTTTAAATGAGACAAATAAAAATAGTATATTAAATTGAAAGGAGGGAGTCTAGTAATGATGAACATCCTTTGATCAAACTTTATTTAAAGGAAGAATTTTCTATATTGAGATTTGTCACCACTAGAATATTCATGAAATTTAATAGTTTTATAATATTTTCATAATTTGTAATAATTAATACTAAAATTTTTAAAAAAATTATGGGTGTGCTATTTATAAATAATGTATGATTTAAAATTAATTTGTTTTGTGTTTGACGTTTGTAGGATTCCTACCGTTCATTAATTTTTTTTTTCTAAAAAATATTAAATCGAATATCTATTTTTTATTTTTAAAATTATACTAAAAATTAATTTTGTATTCAAAACATTATATCAATACATATTTATCATTGTACAACTATTCTAATTCAAAATTTTTACTATTCAAATCCTAACTCGAAATCCAAACCCTTAAATTTTTTTTTTAAAGAAAATCATAGAAATCTTCATGTTCTTGTATTCTTATTTTCTAATTTTGTTTTCATTATCTTATTTTATCTCTAAAATTAACATATTCATTTTTTTTTAATTTTTTTTATTACATATTTTCTTCATGCATAACAAGTAACAACACATAAAACTACTATTTCACTTATTTTTTTATTTTTATTTTTATTTTTATTTTTATTTAAAAAAAAACCAAATAAATAACCTAAATGGCAAAACAATTATCCATTAACAATTGTTGTATAATTGAGATGGGCCAAACACCTCTTTGGAAGCCCAATAATAATTCAAAATAAAAACCCAGCCCTAATCTTCTTCTTCTTCTTCTTCAGTTAGTTTATTCAGCGGTTTCCTCTCTCACAGGCGACACCGCCAAAGTTCTCTGCAGAGCGCTTCGTCTTCTCCGGTGCAAATGTGCGAAAAAAATGTAAGTTCGTTTCTTCTCTTCTTTTGAAAATAGCAAAAAGTTTGAGAATCGTTTAAGCATTTGCAGCAATTTTGACAGTGTATGAATTATGATGTTTTGTTGTTCGAATTCGATCTCGGAGATGATTAATTCCGCACGATCATAGCTGAGATTTTATTATTGGTCTGATCGGAATATTTACTTGGATTCATTCTTCTGAAATTGATTCGATGGGAATATTATTGATGTTACTGCACAATCACAACATTCATCTTCAGTTTATGCTTTCTCTATGAAAATAATTAAGAAATTTGTTGTTTGAGATTTGTGAATCAAATTCACTTACCGTATGCATATATTTCATGATTTTTTATTGATTTTAGAGTACATGGATTTATATAAAAGAACAGCACGTGAAGAAGCTGCTAGACTATAGCGGATCGAACTGAGCATTTTGAATTAAAAAAAAGGTATGTTGTTAATATTTATATTATAATAATTTATAAGCTTTTCGTAGTAATATATATATATATATATATATATATATATACACCGAATGAGGCAAATCGGCACCATAATAATTTTTTTCCTTTGAATACATATAAAACATAGCTTTTTGTTTAACACATGCATTGTTGTATAGATGCACTTGTTGAGATATTTTAGATATTTAGTTTTAAATTTAGTAGATTTATATTTAGATTTGATCATAGGCTTAATCTCATTATTTTTTCCCAAAATTTTTAACAGCACTTATTTGATCAGATTAGCATATCTTATAGGAGTAAATTAATATTAATTTACAAACCCTAGACCTAAATTTAAAACTTTTGCTTGAATTAACCTCCAATAATCTATTAATATATGCATGCAGTTGTATTTTGATCAATAATTTATACTGTTATATTGTTTAACTTAATGGTTATAATTTATATTTAATACATATATTTTTTACTGATTATTATACCATGTAAATAAAATTATACATAATCTATATATCAATTAGAACTTTTTTTTTTGTCAAAATAAAAATTGCGGACATGCATAAAACTTATTTAATATTATAAAATGTACATAGATTTATATTAAAACATGACATATATTGAATAAATTATACTCCCTCCGTTCACGAACTAATGTACTACTTTCCTATTTGGAATATCCAACAATTATTGTCATTTTTTTATTTTTATACACAAAATTTACTCTTTTACCCTTAGGGGGCGTTTGGTACAGATAATGGAATTGCAGAGAAATGATAGTGGAGAATAGAATTGGAGAGAAATGGATTTGAGTAGAGAATGAGAATTAATTCTCTTGTTTGATAAAACAGAGAATTGATTTGAGAAATCTAAAAAAAAAATGCAGATATATGAATAAGCAAAAAAAATAAACGATTAACACGATAAAAAGAGAGTTTTAACGAATGAGAATTCATCAAAAATATTTTTGGTAAATTTTTTTTAAAAAAATTATAAATTATATACGATATTTTTTAAGATTATATTTTAGTACAATTTCTTAAAATGTCGTAAAAAATTAAATACTTTTAAAATAAATTAAGTTTGTTTTTTGTAAAATTAAAATAATATAATTTTTAAAAAATTATAGAAATTAAATAGTACAAAAAAATTTAAAAATTTTAAAATATATATACTGCAACATAATTTCTCTTCATTTCTCTGCGTATGGGAGAGAAATGAAAACAGAGAAATGGAAATGATTTATTTCCCAAAGTTCCATTTCTCTTGACTCAAACAAACAAGAGAAATGATACTATTTCCATTTCTCTGGCCGCATTTCTCTATACCAAATACAACCTTATTTTATTTACTCTTTCATTTTCTATACATAAGATTAAGAACAAATTTGTTATTTTATAATAAAAACCTAATTGCCTAAAAATGCGTGTAAATATCCAATATAAGTAACGTGCATTTGCAGGGGTTAATGTTTAGTTATGTTAAAAATCATAAAAATCATTAATTTCTGTATTAGGTTTTGTTTCATTACAGTTCAAAACACAAATCACCATTATTCATTTAAATAGAAATTTTTTAATAAAAATATGCTTCCTCCACCCATTCTTAAATTTTTATTTGACTTTTGCACATGGATAAAAATAAATTAGTATTTTAACAGATATATAGTATGACCAAATAATATAATACCCATCTTACCCATGAAAAGTAATGTAAAAATATAAAAAGTAAGAGTATGTGATTTGTTTTCCCCATTTTCTTAAAAATCTATTAAAAAAGACATACACCTTCTATTTATATATAAAAATTCTTATATAATTTCCATTTATATATTTTTTTCTCCAAGTTTACATTCTTGAATCTTATATGTATTTATAAATACATCACAATCACAATGACACAATTTATATATTTAAAAAAATTCTTATCTTTATCATAACACTTATCCACTTTCCTACAAAATCCTAATTTCGATAAAATATAATACTATATATGTATATTAAAATTAACTTTTAGGTTTTATGAGCATATATACTTTTTAATTTTAATACACGAAAAAAGCATTTTACAGGTAGAATAATATATTAATGAATGAAATCGTATAATTGTATTTTATATAAATACCAAATAAAAGACAGAAAAACATGCTTTTCACATCAACTTAGAATATTGCAAATGCTTATTTAAGAAATGGACAATCTTTTCTGTCTTTTTAAGGCAGTTGGAAAATCATTTCCAATTATTCTTCCAAGTCAACTCTCCAGTCTCTATATATATTATTATTATCCTGTTTTTTGTTTTATTTAATTATATAGTTTTTTTTTTTAAGTTTAATTTCAAATTCTCATTATATAATATTATTTATCAAAATATAAAGATTTTTCAAAAGACATTATATTTAAGTTATTGACTAAATTAAAAAATACAAAAAAAATAAAAAAATAAAAAATCAAAGCCTAAAAGAAAACACACACATATATATATTTTAAATCTATATTCTTTCAAGAAGATAAACCTGAATTAATTAAACAAATCAATAGTTAAAAAAATTAAAATTAGAAGAAGGAAATTCACATAGATGATTTGCTAATTAAGTTAGCTGGCAAAATTTTAATCATTAAAAATTTCTAAAAAAAATCAACTCAAAGAAATGAATAAAATAAAATAAAATAAATAACAAACTAAACGATGGATTAACATTATTTGTTATTGATATCATAAGAAATGAGTTATTTGAATATATATGAAAGTGAATTTTAAATTTATTACATGATATTTGAAATGCTTCATAATTCAAATTCACTATTTGCTTAGTTTCGATGGATTAACATTATCATCTTATATTTAACGAAATATTTTGAAATTTATTAGATTTTTCGAATCACTTAAAACAAGTAGGCCCTTATTTTCTTTCCACACGTTGGATTTATTTATAATACCCCGACATAATTCAACATCTCAAATCAATAATAGTGAATTATTAACCATAAATTAAATTCAATAAAATCATGTCATCAAACCATGGCTGCCGATTGTTAGGCCCCTAAACGTGGGCAACGAGCATGGCCGGGAATTTTCTGAGCCACGGCGCCAAAGTAGTTTTTTTTTTTTTTTTTGGTGGCAAATAGTTCATCGCGTGTATTGCTTGAATGTAGGGTGTGTTCAATAAAGATGATTTGATTTGATTACTCAATCATTGTATATTTATATATATGAATCGATTAATACATAAAACATTTAATTCTAAAACCTAAGCACGCCCTTAGTCGAAGTGTAGCTTGGTTGAGTTCGAGTAGCTAGCAAGGAGTTGTAAATGGATTGCTCGATATACTGAAATGATCGAGACTTGAAGGGAGGTTAATATTACTTGTTTAAAAACTGTTTTCGCCCTAATTTTTTTAATATCTTTACACAAAAAATATACTCCATCCGTCATGCAAATGTTTACTCATTTAATCGGGCACGAGTTTTAATAAAAGTGAATAGTAATAGTTACTTTTTCCTTTTATAGTAAAAAAAGTACAAAAATATAATAATCTTTTACTTAAAAAGGAAACGAGAATATTTTTCAATGACAACTAAAAAAAAAAAAGTGAACATAGATTTAAATGACAGAGGGAGTATATTTTTTCTGAAATCAAATATTATTTTAATAGAAACTTTAAACTTTTAGTTCAATCCAACTTAAAATGAAACACTCCAACAATATTAGGCTTGGGGTTGGATCTATTGTCAAATGGAGGCCCATTACCACCAAAATTATTTATACATATGTGTATATTTAATATTTTTAAGTTATTTATAAATTTAAATTTTAAATTATTTAATATATTGAACCAACAATCTTTTATTATTATATAAATTATTTTAATATTAATTTAATTTCAAAAAAATAATTTTACTAATGGTATATAATTTTATTATTTAATCTATTATTTTTTTTAAAAAAAGATTTAAGCATGTGCAACCTTTGTTTATTTAAATCTATTTTTGTTAATACTATTTACTATTTAATCTATTTTTTTTACTTGCATTTAAAATATCACATGTAACAAATTTTTTTTTTTCTTATAATATTTTGCTGAAATGTATTTTAAAAATTAAATTTATTGAAAAACTCAGATATTTGTAAGAACATTATATTTTAATCAATATAAAATATCAATGTTAAACTTGCATAGTATTTCTCGTATTTATTATGAATAAGAATATAGATTATTTAATTATAAGATTTTTTTCCTTTTTTTTTTTCCCTTCCTAGACTCCTTAAAATTTAGAAACAAAACCTATGTGATGTTCGAGAATGGTCGAGCATGGTCCGGATGTTGTTGAGTGATGTCGAGAATAGGAATAAGGAGCTATGACCGATAAGTGACAAAATAGTACTAAGCCCTAAATGTGCATATACATTTTTAGCTCGGAAAAGCATCAATAACAAGTTTGAAAAATTAAGTGCGTGTATATTCTATAGTAATTTGAGAATGATTGACGTCATAAATAAAATTCTAATATGCGCACGAACGAATAGAAAATACACTTAAAACACTTGATCTAATCTCTCGCTAGGATTAGTCAACGATCACATAATAGTCTCGTCTCTTTATAGTGAGACGAGAAAGCTATTGCAAAAATCAATATCAATCTATTTCATTTTGTTTATGTTTTTTGTTATGCCTAAAGTCGAATGCATGAGTTCAAAAACTTAATCAAAGATAGATAGATGTTGGGTTTACTTGGATTTTGGTTTTGATTTTTTGATAGAATAATAGTTTGAATGTAATATTTTGAAAGAAAAATAATATATTTTTACAGTGAATCGTGATATATGCATAACAAAAAATTGAAACAAAAAAATCATGACCCAATTGTCCTATTTCCATATTGTTTTACCTTTTTGTATTGTCTCATTAAGCCCATATTTTTGGTGTACTTTGTTTTGCACAAAAAGTAAAAAGTGAAGGGTGAAAATACTTGTGACATGTTTTCAAAAATAAATCTACAAAAGTGGGAAAAGATATATAGAAGCAAAAAAAACTTTCTAGTAGTAAAACATGCCTAAATTAATTCCTTTTATAAGTTGTGGCATTACATGTGACCAAATGTTGATTAACACTTGAAAATTTTCACTCCTTCACATGTATTATTAAACATACCCTTTTTAGGGTCACACAAAATACACACACTCACATACACATACATGTGTAATATTTTTTTTTTTATTTTATTTTTTATATATATATATTTTTGAAAAAGTATTTTAAGATGGCTTAAAGTATTATAAGGTGGCTTTGTGAGAGGATTACTCACCAAAAATGAAAAAAGTGAGATTGATTGGGGAGTCTCGGACAAGCTCGAGTGCGCACATTGTCACTGTGGTTCAATACGCAGAATGCCAAAAGAATCATGCAGCCGATATTGGTGGATATGCCGTTGATGGGTGTCGAGAATTTATGGCTTCGGGCCCGGAAGGGACAGAGGTTGGACTTGTTTGCGCAGCATGTGGTTGTCACCGAAACTTCCATCGCCGGATAGTGCATGTGGTTCCTCAAGCCTCCGATCATTAATCTTTTGATCGGAGAAAGTTTTTACAAATTTTTATCTTTAATTTTTTTTTTTTTTTTTAGCAGCAATTTCAACATTGTATTGTTATTATACTTTGTACAATGTAATGATTCGGAATTTTATTCTTTTGAGAGAATTGTAACAAAAAATAAATTTATCTTAGAATGCATAAAATCTTGTTTGCTCAACAATGTATTATATATTAAAATAGTCATAATTTTAGCATACAATATATTGAGTTTGAAACATAGAAAATATATTTACAAGGAACAATTTCTACACAAAAGTACATATATATATTTTATATTAATACCATATTTTCACTTACCTAATATAAAATACTAATACATTAAAAAACATAAAGTGAACAAATACTTAAATGATGATGCAATAGTCTATTAATTGTACAAAAACATTATGGATATCATATGCATAAATTTCATCACATAAAATAATAACATATGGACTTTAAGTTCAAAAACAATTTTCAGAACTATATATAACAATTATCATTAACTTAACTTATATATGTCTAAAAAAAATCATTGATAAGCATATATAAGTAACGATATATAGCTTATAATTGATTTGGAAAATATATAATTAACAAGATATCATATAGTCTTTATAAAACAATATTTATAATTTGGAACGAAGATATTGTCTACTTCTTCCAGGAAGTTTTGCCAATTTCGATGGCTAGACCCAACATTAATAAAAACCATATTGGGTTGGCCTAAATCGATTCAATTTGATCGATTAAAATTCTTTATAGTCGACGGCCCGCTTTATAATATTCAACATATATGATAGAATTTTAATACTCCCTCCGTCCCACATACCATGTCTACGTTGCCGTTTCTATCCGTCTCACATTCCATGTCACTTTCTTTTTTTCGAAAATAATTACACACTTTAATCTCATTTTAAATTTTTAATTTTTTTTAATTTTAATTAAACTAATTAGTTATCTTAATCTTAATTTATAATTATTTATATTATAGAATAATTATTTTCACTAATACATTCTTAATTATCTACTAATTACACCCCTCCTAAAATACATGTATACAGTATAGCATAGCAGACACGGAAGGAGTGAGTATATAGGATTATTCTAATGGATTAAATAATTACAAGATAAAATAATAATTTACATCAATGGATTACTAATTTTACCTAAAATATTCTTAATTTTAGTGCTAAACTATTTAATAATAAATGAGAAAATAGAGGTATTTAGCACAATTATTAGCTTAGAATAGTTTAATTCCCCTAGTTAAAGGAGGATTACTTATTATAAATTATAGTATTCTATAATCAAACTTTAATTTAATATTTTAAAGTAAATAAATAAGTGATTAAATGAGATATAATAATCTTATCAAATCTAATCACTCATACGAAACACACCCTTATTGCATATATCAATTTTCTTACATACACACATTGCATAATGCAAAAATTAATCAATTGTAACAAATTCTATTTTAATTTGTTTATGCCCAAGGTTGATGGAACGAAAATATATTTGTAATAGTTGATCAATTCTCAAAATTTTGAGTGTTGTTTAAAATTGTCCAAAACCAATTTGCATGTCACTAACTAAGTAATTGAAAATAATAACACACTTGACCTAGTGTTGCTGAGAACTTCGATCTTGATCAAAATGAGTTAGTAGCATCGGGTAAGGCTATGTAATTTTGAGCTAGATCATGCACAACATATGACGACAATTAACATATGTCCAAGGATGCGTCAAATGCTCATAGAGCATAATCAACACATGGTATGCATACGCGTGCGCCAAAACAAAGTTTGAAAATGTCAAATCATTGTGAAATAAGTTGACATACATTTATTGAAGTCGAAAAAGGTAAAATTGTCGGTTTATATTTTGAATTATGTGACTCTATTTGTCTGACTTTTCGGAAGCAATCTCCGCTAACTATAAATTAATTTAAGTAATTTTGCTCTCTCAATTTTAAATAACAATGTATTGAATAAAAAAAAAATTATGTTAAGATATTATTTGAGGATTAAAAATTTTGTTTTAAGAATACAATAATAAAGCCGCATACTTTTATAGTCTAGTTTCAATTCTTCTACTATTCAATAACATGTAAAATGCACTATATCTTCTCATAAAATATCACATCCAAACTCCTATTAAAAAAAAATCAAAAATAAAAAATCAAACTCTAGAAGAATACATCCAAATTATAACAAACAAACACAAACTTCCTAATGAACCAAATGTACTTTAAATTGTTCTTCCAAGGTGTGTATTTGTCATGTGAATGGTAAATCACATTCATGCTTTGGTTAAGCATGAAGATTTACCTAGTCACATGAAATACACATCTTTAGGGTTTTCTCAACCCTATAAATATGTGTGTATTCATCTCTTGATAGTAGCATAAGGTAGTGAGGAATTTGAAAAAAAAAAAAAACAAAATGAGGAGAATGAGGATCTACCCGCTACCTCCAACGCACATGAGGCGACGTGTTCCCGTGATTCATTATGGCGAATGCCAAAGAAATCACACCCCGGAAAATGGAACTCGCACCATAGATGGGTGTCAAGAATATATTTCCAATGGTCAAGAAGGAACGGAGTTTGAGTTTATTTGCACTGCTTGCGGATGTCATCGTAGCTTCCACAGGCGCACCGTCCGTGAAGTTCATGAAAATATTGATAACAATTAAGATCTTTTTTTAGAAAATAGCATTTATATGTTTAAGTTTGTATTTCGATTGTGTTTCGTGTGTTTGCATTTGAGTCATGTTTCATTCTAGTTTGGATATTCATATTATGTAAGTTGTTCTATTTTAATCATGAGCAGTATTGTATTTCAGTTATTTCTTGTTCTATTTTGGATATTTATATATTGTGAGTTTTTTAATCCCTTGCAAACATGAAGTAATACAAAGATATGGATCAAAATAAATAAGTAAAAAATCAAGAAAGGTAATTGCAATACAAAATTGATAGTTCATAAGAAATCCATTGAAGAAGATTTATAAAACATGATCTGAATCTAAAATATTAGAATCTACTTTCACACGATCGATCTAATTATAAGTTCATGTATTTAAAACAGCTATCTGACTTGATTAAATATATCAATTTTTTTTTTTTTTTTTTAATGAAATTTAGATATGACTAAAAATGGTGTGGAAATCAGGGTTGAGAAAAAACCATATGGATATTTTACTATTCAATCTTTGGTGTTATTTTATTTTTCAAATGATACATTATAATTATGTGCATATATTATCGGAAATAAAAATTTAATTTCAAATTTTACAAATCAGACATAACATAATTGAAAATTATCTATGGTCCCATTTGGATAGAAGAATTTAGATTTGAAGTTCATTGTAAATTCCAATTGCTTGTTTGGATTTATTGTATTTGGAGAGATATCATGAGATATAGTTTTACGATTTCATTTTATTTTTTGGATCGTATTATATTTTTACAAAATATTGAAAACATATATTCTACTATGGTCTGGAAAAACAATACAAGCAAATCAATATTAACAAAAAAGAAAATGAAAAAAGAGCAAATTAGGAAGTGGAACAAAGTTGGATTTCAAATGAATCTTTTAGAATGGATTTGAAATAACATAAAAAAGATTTTCAAATACCTTGTGAATTTTTAATCCTTCATTATTCAAACAATTTTTTGAAATTTAATAATTGTATTTGAAATAACTTGAATTCAAATTCTTCACCGTGAATAGATCAACTAATCGGCTCAAGTTCATACACTCAATCTATTTTGTTATCATTCCATTTAATGATTTAGAAATATTTTGAATTTTAAATAATTGTAAAAAATCGAATAAAATTCAAGTTAATTTTGATATTTTGAATAAAAATAATTTTTTTATATAATAACTTAAACAAATAATAAATATTTGATTTAATTTTTAATAATACAAAACAAAAATAAAAAATAAAACAAAAGCAAGCCAACTAACTCGTTCCAAAATACTTGAAAATAATTATTTTTAAGTGAGACCGACAATAAAAAAAAAAAAAAAATATATATATATATATAAATTGAACTAAATTGCAATTTCAAAATTTGTAGGAATTTCAAAGCTAAGTTTCGGAAAATAAGAGATCTTCAAATAAATTGTTATTTCTATCCCTTGCGCACGAAATTAACCTCGTGGTGCATATACATGTAATTAACGGCAGATCTACATTAGCTTACGTTAAGCTTTTCAGCATCGAATGATAACAGCAATTCATTTGAAGATAGTCTTATTTAAAAAATAAATAAAAATAAAAGAACTAAAAAATTAATGTTCATATTGAATCCCATCGTAAAAAGAAAAAAATTACAATTTTTCCTTACTAATTTTATCGAAAGTATATCCTTAATTTTAATGCTAAACTACTCACTAATAAACGAAAAAATAGATATTTAGCACAATTATTAGTTTAAGATAGTTTAATCTCACCTCTTAAAGCAGGATTGATTATACTTATTATAGTATTATAGTATCGGACTTTAAGATATCACAAATTTTAATCCTTAAATTAAATAATTAAGTGGTTAAAGTGGAAATTAATAAACTTATTCTATCTAATCACTCAAAGTAACACAATCTTATCGTATACATATCAATTTTCTTACCTACATACATTGCATATAACAAAAACTTATCACTACAGAATTAATTTTTTCAGCCCAAAGCTGATGGTACGAATTTATATTTGTAATT